ACGTCACTCACAGAGATAATTTATTCATCCCACTTGAGTTTTGAACCAATTTTGAGCTAGAAACGAAAGTGTSGAAAAAAGGTTTATATATGACGAAAAGGTTTCGGAAATGGGATAGAAAATTAGAAAAAAGTATTTATCTGAACTGAACCTTTGAATGTCACTCACAGACATAATTTATTCATCTCACTTGAATAAAAGGCACTTTGGTTCGCAGCCTGTTTGGTCAGTTCAAAATCCCTTTGCGATGAATAAATAATGTGTGAAATATAAAGTGCGTTAAATTTCATTACATTGAGATACTTTATTAGTAATATTGTTGCTATAATATTATTGCGKTATACATCTATTTCAAAAAAGGTTGAATACTGAATACTGCCTACTGAATAGTTTATTCCTAGACCGAAGTGCATTGTGGGTCATAGTGGGTCTAAAGTAGAATTAATAATTATTTATTCTATTTTTAGTGTATTCCATCTGAAACAATATACTAACTACACATAGAGAGTTAGTAATTGCTGTATATTWACTTTTTATTTCAAATTAACGAGACTCACAATTCCCTTTGGTCTAGGAATGCACTATTCAGTATTCAGTATTCAACCTCTTTTGAAATAATAATAATAAACTTTATTTGACACAGAAATCCTTCAGWAATGACTGATTTACCAAGATGCTGTGTATAATAAGTAGCTGTATATGTTATCTAAAATATCAATCTTAAACTCTATGTTTTTTTGGTTGTATTTTTCAGAGTGGAGAAGTGACTTCTGTCCTTCATCAACAATGGATCAATCAAATTCCCTAAATACTTCGTTGCCAAGCAACCAAAATGTTCAGAATKACGTAGGTATGTCTCCTATATCCTATCAATCAAAAGATCACGACGACCACCAACCCTCTACCTCGGGCTTGAATACGGATTCTAATGACTTTCACTTCAGTTTAAAAGAACCGCCTTCAAGTGATGGACAGTTTGGATTAACCAATTTATGTGATGATGATGGCACATATATTAAGATTCCTGACCCTGTATCTTTATCACTTGAAACGGAACAAAGGTCATCGTGTAGTAGTAGTAGTAGTAGTGTCAACGTTACCTTGGAGCAACACTTGGGACAACCTAAATCAGAAGTGTCGAGTCGCTTAAAGGGTAGCGTCTCTACTCTGGGAAATAAAATCACAACAAATAACAAAAATAAAAAGGATAAAAGAATGAGCGAAACTGATATGGATATTGATGAGAATTATCAATATCTTCATGAGGGGTACTCGTTGTCTAAGGGAAGTCCTGCATCTATTGTACCAGGACAATTGGAAGAAAATAGTGCGTCAGAATTAACCGTTCAACCTCCATTAAGTGCTTATGGAACTCTTCTAGATGTACTAGAAAACTTAGAGCAACAGTCAGATCCTTTTGCCTGTACGTCCAACGCCAGAAAGAGAGATTCTGTTGAATATGTTGTAAGAGAGGACGAAGAGGATGAAGAATGGAACAAAGCTACAAGCAAAGACAAGCAAGTAAAGCTTTCATCGATAGAGCTGGCTCTCGCTAACCAAATGAAGATGAGAAATGATTGGTTGGGTCGATGTAGTAAGGCGGAGGCCTCTTTCCRCGATTCTTCATTGTCTGGCAAGCAAATGGAAAATTGCGAGGAAAGTGGTTTGAGACCCCAAAAAGAAGACAGTTCCCCACGGGGCGACTCAACCACTAAAGACAAGGCTGAGTTCTCTCGGTTCTGGTTGGAGTTCTCGCAGTCTCAATATCTTGAAGAAAGAGAGTTGGACGACACAGGAAACAAGGGTGTGGAAGATCTTACGGCGGGTGATAAGCTTGAAATAGTTTTTGAGGATTTCACAGATGATGGCAGGAATAGGACTGTTAAGAAAGTTGTCAGTATTAGTAAAGAATCTTGCCATTCAGGTGACAATGAGGATGGAAATCGAGCCACAAAAAGCTTCCAAAATGATAAGAAAGAAGATGAAGTCACAGGCAAACTGTTCGCAGACCTCGAGTCCCACGAACTGAATAAAAATCGTTCAGGAGGTTTTTCTAGTGGTTCAAAAGTGGTATCTGAATTTGGAAAATCTAGTTATTTTCCAGGAATAGTTGATGATGGTCGTACAGAATGCAAGATAGAGGAAATACAAGGTGTGGGGATACCTGGTAATACAAATTTGCCACCATCAATGGACGGGTGCGTGGTAGTTGCAGAAAGTGATGTAATGAAAGGAATGGGCGCTA